TTAATAAGCAACAAACAACAATATGCAAACTCTGATACAAAAACACACCACTCAACTCTATACCAATACCATGATGAGCTATAAATGCCACAACAAGACATCGTGATGGTGCACCTCATGTATTTGCAATATTGATGTAACAGGTAAGGGTGTAACATCTATAGCATAAGGTGCATTTCATAGTACCACTACAGAAAAACATGTTACTGTACCATACAACTGTTAATGATTAATAATGATGAAGGTAGTATTTTTTTTAAATGCATTATTAGTGCATTTTCTGAATTTGGATTAGTTGAAGGCTTTAACTGTTCAGCAGGCTGTGGAACCAATGATGAGGTTCTACGTCAGTAAAATATTTATGGGCCCAATGGAAAAAGATGCGAGCCTTATGTATTTTAAATCTGACATGAAACAGCCCGCTGAACAGCTAAAGCATTCAGCTAAACTTTGTTTGCATTTTCTATGCCGGGAAGGATATGATACTCCAGAAGTTTGACCAATCAAAACATCCCATGAATTTTGATGAATACCATGAAGTTTGACCAATCAAAACATACCAGTTGATTCCATATCAGACTCCCATTATTAAAGGAGTTCAGATCTGCCCCACAAAGCATGCCTCACACCATTCTCACAGTGCATCGTAGTGATGCATTGGGAACATCTTCCCATAAATGATAACATCATGTGTGCAAAAGATGATATCAACACACTGCTTCGATGGACTGTGAGGTTGATGCAAAGCGCGCGCTCTATGAGGAGCAAATCCAATCTCTTTTTAAGGGTGATGGGGGAAGAAAATCCAGTCTTGGAGAAGTTAAAAAAAAAAAAAAAAGACTTGAAGCCCTAGCATTCCCTAGTAGAGAGGACATGATCTAAGATCAGTTCCAAAGATGCAAAGCTTCCCAATGTAAACAAAAAATTAGTTAAAAGTGAAATTAATGATGCTGCCCAGGATCGAACTGGAGACCTTTAGTGTGTAAGACTACCGTGATAACCACTACACCACAGCATCACATGTGACAGTAGGGGAGTATCGGTTAATATTCTCAGCTCTCAAGATAATACATGTCATTAAGTCCACGGTCAACAAAAAATGACGAAAATTATATTAAATGCATCCCAAAGAGCCAATCCTTCTATCCATTCAATCATATACTGTTGCAGTATTGGAAGGGCCTTCTTGAAGAAGGATTTTAGTTCGCCACAAAAGGATTTTCCTTAGTTTACCAAAAATAAAAAATTAAAAAAACGCCTGGATATCTCTAACTGGTTTACAACTAGGAAAGAGAATTATGGCTTTATAGCCAGATGAGTTGGTAAAAGGATCCAAAGCTTATGCACCTTCTTGGAGATAGATGAGTTGTAGTATGATAGCTTCCATGCTTTGCAGCTGGACAGTATTTAATTTGCACCTGGACGTTCAAAACAGTACTACTAATGGTAGTGACCATTTAGGCGAAGCAAAGGACTCCTTTGCCATGAAGCTGAGGGGTACTAAGCTGATATTTGCCACCTGGAAAAGATGGGGTTTTGCTAAAACAAAGTGTTCCCATTTTTGGCTGGCTACACTGCATGCATCTAAATTGTTTGTTAGTGGAATCTAAAACTTGTCTTGCATTTTTCTTTCAAAAATTCAAATCATACTGCATTTTGATGTGAAGTATTTGTTTGATAGGTATATGTGTACTCAATTTTTTCTCTTTTCTTTGTTCAGTTTACTCAAACTGTTTAATGGCTCCAAATATAAAGGTCGATGATATTGAACCATTATCTGTGAAACTTTAAAATACTAATGATTTTTATTAACTGTTTTTAGAATACTGTACTTTTGGTACTAATGGAAACATATTGCCTGCAATGCACATGCAAATTTTACAAGTGGAAGCCAAACAAATGAGAATAGGAAAGATGTCATAAATTTTGAAGAGTGAAACTTTTGTTTGATTAAGATACACAAATTTTTGAATTTGGGTGTGCTTTAATTATAAGGATAAAAATGTAATTTGAATAACCAATTTTTTCCTTATTCAAAGTCTCTCATTAAGTCATATACTTAAGATATTAACTCCCATTAACATTCATAGAATTTTGTTCTTGACTAGAATGCCCTCATTTTTGAATTCGATCCCTTTATAATTATGGCCATGCAAAATGTAAATTCAACTATTACATTTATTCACATTGATCAAGTCCCTCTCATTAACTTTATGGTATTGACTCTCATTCTTTCATTGAATCCTATATTAATTAACTATGTTAAAGAAAATTTAAGTATGATAAGGAATAAATGTTTTTATTAATGATAGAAATAAAAGACAAATTTAAAACCAACACAAAATGCAGTCATTTTCCCGTTTTGGTGGCTAGTCAACAATTCAACCTTTTGAGTCAAATGTATAAATCCTTGATGTCATAATTAAATAATAATAACAATAATAATTAAAAAATAAAAAACATATAAAAGTATAAAAAATATTTAAAAAATTATAGAAAACATTTGAGCACATCTCTAATATTGTATATTCATCATATTAAACTAAAATAAGTGTGACAAGTAAGAATAACTTTTATATACATAGAAATATAAAAAATTGTAGAAAATTTTAAAAACATATTATTTTCTATCATCATCATCATAAAAAATTGCCGCTATCAAAAATTTCCGCATACAAAATATGTACACACTTAATAGTTTATCTAAATGGTCAAATTAATGTTTCTCATACACATGCAGTTTTCAAATTAAAATGACAATTATATATGATGTGCCAGCATATATTTCTCATAAATTTTTATTAATAACCAAAAATGCAATGGCAACACAACACGAATGTTCCAACACCCCCCCCCCCCCACGTGTGTGTGGGGAGATAAGGGTTAATTGCTATTCCTTAGTAGAGGAACCAAATTTTAAGGAAAAGGTTTTTATATTTATTCAAAAACAAGGAAAAAGAAAGCATTTCTATAAAATAGAAGGAATACTAAAAGCAGGTACATATAAGATCCTTTTATGGAGTTGCAGTTTAGTACTAGAAATTTGCAGACATATAGAAATTAGCTATTCAATTTATAGGATTTATATGAATAAGATTAGTCTGCACTCTAACGTGGACACAATAAATTAGCTTCTTTGTTGGACGCCATGGATCTCTACACATGTAAAGCTAGTGGACTGACAAGATAATTTACACATCTAAAAGCTGGAATGCTCAGCGTAATTCAGATACCAAAAGTGGAGTTATACAAAGCTTTTGAGCTCATAAGCTCTGGAAACTTTGAGCTGTTAGGATAGATAGCTACCAGATCACTACTCATAAATCATGATAGGGTACTTTTGAATACAAAGTTGTAGCCCTACGGACAAAGGCAAGATGGTAATAAAAAGCTATAATTAAAGTGCATGGATAGTTTAATAGAGGTGCCAATAGATTGCATTTTAGGGTTTCGTACATATCGGCCAATACCCAACCTGGCCATATTTTATTATTTTTAACAAGAACCTGGACATATTGTATTGAGATATATAACCCAAATCATGAAATGGGATTAAACAACTCAAAGCAAACTAAACCACCTTGCAGAAAAATAAAAAAAAAGCAAACTAAACCACCAATATATTAAGCCCAATATAAATCTTATGACTTTGATTTTATGATAATTACAGCTAATTTGAGTAATATTAGGTACAAAGACAACAGAATTGTTTTCAAGAAAGATATAATACTTAAAAAATGAAGGCAAACCTGATTAATCACCAAAAATATAAACCTAATTTGTTATTTATGAATTTAAATTTGTTACATCTAATAATCAAAGTGATAGCTTCTTTTAATTTTTCAAAGTTGATGTTAACATAAAACAGAATTATAGTTTGATTTATATTAGGTAAAAATTAGAAATCAAAGCTTTCAATAAAGGGTGTTCAAGCTCCATTAATTAGTCTGAAAGAAAATCTTCATTTACCAACTTAATAATTAAAAACTTAGCCTTTTTTTCCTTGATCAGCAAGACAGCATTTTACCAAAAAAAAAGTGTATATGTAGACATTCTCTAACTAGAAATAAGTAAATAAAAGCACCAGAAACATTATAGTTATGGCATTTAAAATCTGGACCCACTATTCGGAAAAAAGCCAACTCACCCACTGAAATCCACCAAATCCTAACCATATTCAAATTTATTTCAAACATCTTATTTTTGTGAAACAAAGGGAAAATCTAGACAATATGGGGAAAAACTAAAGGGGGAATGATGGGATTCTGTAACACTATTATGCCTATAAATAATAGCAAGGTTCTTTAATATGGGATGCACATGCTTATTGATTTATATTGACCAGTTGATGGACCCAAGCTAAAGGATCTCCCTACTGAAAAATTTAGCAGAACTAGTTGGACCTAATCATCTAGTGGGTGTTTGTAAATGTTTAGGTTATTGTTTTTGAAAACAAAAACAACTGCCATATCAGCAAAATCATATTGTTTTTGATGATGTGGAAGTTGTATAAATTAACAAATAAAGCACTATTACACATTGGCAAACATCACCCTAATTAATGGCCATCATGTCTCCAATTCCTTGGGTTGGCACCTATATGTTTCTCGACCGTTTTGTCCAAACAACCTAATTGCATAGACGGTCAAGATCATCCATGGGATCTTATGAGTTGGGCCTTTCTGTTCAAAAGCTTACACCTAGAACCGCCCATAGCCATGTGGAGCAAATTATTCAAAGCATTACAATATTGTGTCAATCTGTAAAACTGAAACTAAACAAAAGAAAAGAACAATAACAACTTGATAAAAAGTTATTAGATATTTTACTCACCCGTCCAAATTATATATATGATTATGCCTAGCTATAGACACAACTCACATTCTAATACCCTCCAAAAAAAAGCAGTATCTAATCCTCTAGGTGCACTATGTTTATAATGATACTAATGCAACAATTATAACAAGAGTGAGTTTGCTTGTAAAAGCAATCCAGATAGCTTAACACTATAAATAAAGTCATGTATGTTCATCTTCAGAGAATGTAATATATTATATTCTCTGAAAAGAGGTACAGACTTGTAGTCCCTACAAGCTCATCAGAGTACAGGTATGTTGCAGAAAAACGCCCCCTTTGGAGACTACATATACTATTAAGGAAGGCTCAAAAGTTAGCATCCTTCCTCTTAAATGGACACATATATAAGAGAAGAAATAAAATATAAAATTGATATGATAGTTATAGAACTGTCAAAGAAGATGTGTATAAGCATATTTTATGTGTAGTATCCCGTCCAAGAGGAAGAATGCTCCTGATTGGTCAGATGGAGGACCATGTGGAGGGTCAAGAACAGCCACAACCGATCAAGTGTGCCATCAATCACCGTGTATAAAAAGGGAGGAATGATCCTCTTGTTAGTCAGTGACATTGTACATTGGTTTTGACAATAACTAGCAACTGGGGCTCACCATCCTGAGCAACACCTGAAACTGATAAGACGTGGTTCCCACCATCCTATAGTAAATAGACGGACCCACTACGACTCTGGTAGTACCTAAACCACAGCCACAGTAACGTGAGATGCATGGAAGAGATATAGCTAGAGAATCAAATAGGAAAGCAGTACTTGTATAATACAGTGCAATATAGTACTTTACATCTTTCACCCTCTATCTGAATTTCCCAGGTTCAGTGTTTCACCCACCCACACAAAAGCACGCAGGCACAGAGAGAGAGAGAGAGAGATTATCAACTTCTCTTATGTAATGTGCAGGCTAATTAAACTCGTGAAATAAACCCTAAAGCAAGTAAGAATAAGCCTGAAGCATTGCATGCATGTTGAATCATCGAAAGCTTACATTTAATTTGCAATTGCAAGAGTCGTAGAGTGACCTTAATGAAATATAATAAACAATAAATAGTGATAAGAAATTAATGCTGAATAACACCGCAATAGACCCTTAGAAAGAAAACAGCAGCCAATATCCCATTGTTAAATTCTGTCTTCTCATACCCTAGAATAAGCTAGCTAGCTAGAATCCTTACCAGTTACTACTCAAAAACACACACAACTAGAAGAAATAGAAAGGGGAATAGTGAATTCAAATTTCGAGCAATCAAACGGCACGTGTGTTGCAAGTGCATATTATATATTTAAAAAGAAAAAAAAATCAAGCCATACATGTGTAAGTGATCTAGGAATGGTGACCAGGCGTGTCATGTCGTTCACTCCCCCCGTGATGCTGTTGGGACCCACTCGCCTGAGATTCAGAAGCGCCGGTGCCCGGCAACGGCCGATAAGCATTGAGGGCGGCAAGCATGCCCAAGTGTCCCTCGGATGAGCCACCGCTACCACCGATGCCCGAAGGAGATAACTGTTGGCTTGGCAAGAGAGCCATTGGGGTAGGGAAATTCATGAAATGTAGCCCACTGGACATGGACCCTCTATACATAGTAGTATTACTAACCGAAGGGAATGTCCATATGGGATCACCACTCATCACTTGGTTGTTAGGGTTAGTAACCATCCAAAAATTCGCCGGAATCTGACCATGGCTGGCCGGAATTGGGCCTGCGCTTGATTGCAACAGGTAGTTTCCCATTTGATGTTGTTGAGACGAAGGATCCTGCTCTGGTCGACGCTTTCTCCCGCCAATACTAGTATCAGTATCTGACATGTCTAGACATGGGTCACGCAGCTCCTGCTTAGCTTGTATCATGGGGTTTACATTGTTGGTGTGAAAATTTAGCAGTGTAGAGGTGGAGGAGGTGGAGGAGGAGTTATCCGATGACAACCCAACGCCTGGGAATAGAATTCGACGTTGTTGAGACTCGTCCATGATGTTGCGTTCCCATTCGCTTCTCATCCTCAATTGTGGCGTTGTCGCGAAGTTTGGATTGAAGTACGTGGTCCTCAGCTGAGACGGGGCCGACATACTGGACCCCGAGCTACGGAGTGAAATGTTGAGGGACGTGAAATTGGCAGGAATTGTGCCCGTACCCGTGGCGGCAATCACCGCCGGCTCCGCCTGCTGTAGCAACCACTCGATAGTTTCGCCGTCGGACTTGTGGCCCAGTTCTCTGGTGAGCTGGAACACCCTAGCCGCACATGTAGCAGGCATACGGATGCGTCGTCCCCTTCCATCAACCTTGGTGTGTCGATCTTTGGTCGAAGTCCTCTTTGGAGGGGGTTTCTTCGCTGCTGGGTCGACCGTTTGTAGACTGGAATTGGATCGGATCATGCTTGTCTCGGCGGATATAGCTAGAGATGGGTAGCCTGAGCTTGAACAGATATCCTCGTCCTCCTTCTTCTCTAGTAATTGCAGTGGAAAGTTCGGCCTACGGATCTCATTTTCTCCTTCCATTTGATCGATTACATACAGATGAACTACTCCTGCTAATAATAATAACAAGAAGAGGAAGAAGAAGAAGAAGAATACATACAATGAATTAATAATCACCTGTGATTCTGTGACCTGTAGAAGGGATGATTCCCACTTAATTTAATCTCTTCTGGTTGTGGGTCTCTCTTACTCTCTCTCTCTCTCTCATCAACATCAAGTCAGCACTCAGCAGTGAGATGGGATTAGAGTAGTCGCTCTACCGTTAGCCTGCAACAGCTTTCATATTCGTTTGAGAGCTCGGTTGGGTCTCCCTCTAGACTCTAGAAGATAAGGGAGGAGGGCAAGCTTTAAGCAACAAATACAATGAGTGGGAATTATATGGTGGGCTTGAAAAGCAATGTTTTCTGAAAAAAAAAATGCTTTACTATAAGCTTTATTTTCCCCCTTTAAATTTTCATTTTTTTTTCGTAATTTTCAGTTTACACTATAAATTTTTTCCTCTCCCCTTTCTAAATCTTGCTTCCTTTTATTGTGGCTGGACAGGCCCTTGGTTCAGACTCCACGTGCGGTGCTCTTTATCATTCAATCCATAAAGACAGTGGTGGCCGAGGTGGGACCCGATCCCAAGTCAAAAAAAACGAGAGATTAGAAAGAAAAGATAATCAAGTGGGTCCCATCTCATTCAAGTAATCATTGCCTTTTGCCTTTGGCCTTTGCCTTTGTTCTTAACCATGGTTGAGATTAATAAAACACCCCCTTACACCCGTTGGGTGAGAGTATGGTTAGGGTTCAGGGTTTTTAACTTTTTGGTCTCTCCTCCTTGGACTTGGAGTTGGAGAGATGCCCTCTTAGTCTCAGTCCTCCATTTAGATTATTATTCTTACTTCATATTTTTTCTTCTTTCTCTCCCATTCTTATTTTTCCCTTTTTCCCTTTTCCCTGAATAGGTTGTAAATTTAACAGAAAGAGCTGCACCTGTTCATTGTGCAGCAAACTACTTTTCACTGGAGAGTCTGGAGTTAGATATATGGTGTAATTAGTTAACAAAAACTTAATTAAGCTCTTCTTCGATATGAACATAACAGTACTCTAGAGACGGAGGGGAGATGAGGGCCCATTTCACATGATTATTATTTATTTATTTTGCAATTAAGTTCATGCTACGGAATTAACTTGATCACATGATGCTCAGTCATATAACTCGTGGTGGATCGCCATCAACCTGTACTTCTCACCTCTGACAATAGAGTAATTGTCCAAACCTGTCGCATTTACGCGAAGGTATCTTTCTATCTTCTCTCTCTCCTTTTGGCCTTGGCAGATATGGATGGAAACTTGGAATCAAACAGCAGATTGATATATAATCTCATCAAGGCATCAGCACTAGCACCGTCCAAATGAGCCAACGACATAATCACATTCAGTTATAGATCTAATAGAGAAGTAAGAATAGTTGTGCATGAGAATGAGAACAAGGTGCAGGCCTATTAGGTGAAGGGAGCACCCACATATTTTCAGCTTAGATGCCTTTTTTATTGAGGGATAGAGGCAGATACATACCACATTTGTGTCTCTATAAACTCTAGGCAACATTACAACGTCATTGCATGGTACTACCGACGAAGCTGTTGCCCTCGGTGCGCTGTCCCACACCCATGACATTGAGAACCACCTATCAGAATTAAGGGACCCATGGTTTAGCCCAGTTCTGCTAATAGTGAAACCACGGCCTTTGCCGCCTTTTCCGGTGACTAAGATGGCTTACCATACACAAACACACTACATATATGCATATATATATATATACATACTTTTCTGCCCAATTCCAAATCAAATTTTGTTTGGATGCTGCTTCGAATTGGGCCTCAAAACCCTACTTCTTAAATGGTTGATTAAGCTGGTCTATTCTCGACAGAAGATTACAAACTTAACAACCATTTACCTAATCTAATCTGTCGAAATTAGCTAAAAGGGTGCAATGGTAATTGTACTTCTTTCTATTCTAGGAAACAAATAGTCCAAGTGACAATGACATGTACAAAGTAATGTTGTTAATCACAAAGTTAAAACCAGGGAGAATTCTATTTACAATTTTATAATTATTATATAAAGGGAGTTGTTTTATCTCTAAAGAAGGGAGTGTGGTATGTGGGTGTCATAGGGAACATGGATAGAGAGAGGAGAGAGAGGAGAGAGATGATGGGGATGGGGCCAGTAGAGGGTTGAAAAGAAGTTTAGGCGAGAGTTCTCATCAAAGGAGTCTTTCCTTGACAAAACAAAAGGAGGAGGATAATACAAGGAGACTCTCCTCATGAGGAACCCTACAAACATTCAATTAAATATATTTGTTCTGGCGTAGGCTTAATGCGATGTTTATTTAGATGCAGTAAAAATAATAAATAAAAAAAAAGTACACGTGCGGAAAACGGAAACCCTTTCACCGTTCCAAAACAGCCGTCTGATCTTAGTTCGAACTTTTATGCTGCCAGAATATGATGAAGGGATTAAGTAAAAGCTCTCACATTCCCATCATCTGATTCTCATAGTAGCCTAGTTGTTGACCTATAGCCTACAACCCTAGCAGATCTAGTAGGTGGGACTCATTACTTAGGGATTCTCCTTTCCTTCATGCCCGACACGTGTATGGCTACTCTCCGTCATACGGAAATTCCCTACCGTAGGGAAATCAACAAAGTAAAAAATAAGAAAGAGTAATAACAGGGTTGATTCCTCAAGGACGATTGTACCCTTAATGATTCAGTACTAATCACCATATCCAAGGAAAGGGATAAGGACAGTTTCGGCATTGAATGAGGTAAAGTAACTTTTAGTAGGTAGGGACTGAGATGGGAGAGCCGAGCCGGAGTTGGAGTAGGAGCCGTTCCGAGACAAAAGCGGGGGGGAGGGGGCTTGGGCTCCATTTATTCGGGGACAGAGAAGCAGTTAGGGGAGGGACCCACGGTCCAGCTCGCTAAAGGAATGTCCTTCTCGAGTCCCCTCTGGCGAGGATGGTGGGTGGGCTGACAACGCCACGTCGACTCGACAGTTGGAATCTTCTTGCCTGGGGGAACAACCAACCAACTCACACTCTTTAGGGCTTGCGTCATCTAGACTCTCCTCTTAGACTCTACTGCTTAGGGCTGACGTCACACGACTTTAAAACTGGCAGTTGGGTCACATCACTCCCCGACTTTGCCTGCCGCTATTCCGGACTCATATAAGCTGGCGGCCAGTCCCTCCTGCTATCTACTACTTACTTTTTTTTTCTTGTTTTAATCTTTTTTCTCCACATAATTCTATCCATTTCGATTAGTGGGTCGTCTCTGCTCTTGCCCCTCTATTTTTCCATAATTACCAAGCCTACCCAAAGCTTATCTTTAGTTAATCTAGATGCCAAAGATGAAAAGAACGGATTAATACGGACTACGGAGTTGGGAGAGTCAAGCGTGGGGCCACTGCAGAAATTATTAAGACTTGTTTTTCTTTGAAAAAATTTTATTATTATCTAGATTTAACAATTATTTGATAGGAATTGGGTACCACAAATTTCAATAGGAGTCAACATCATGGACATGGACAATTGTAATGGCTCTTTAGCTCTTGATGGGATATTATTATAATAATAATAACAATAAAATTTGGAAAAAATCACTGATACTTGAGGCAGTGGTCCCTCTGAGCAGTAAGCACTGCTATATTTCAAGTAGTAGACACAATTGACTGTCCATTTGATCAAAAGACTTTATGAGATGTCCACAGTGTAGTCGACAGCCAGTTCACCATTATTACTGCTAGTAGTATTCAAGTTGTATGTATTTTTTTCTAATAACTTTTTCAGAGGCCAAACATTTAAAAGAAAGAGAGCAAAAACAAGAAGGAACACAAATATCTCGGCCAAATCTTGTTGAATGATTAAAATTTCTGAGTTTAGAAAGAAATTTGGTGAGAAGGGTTGTATTTCTTTAGATGCCAAGAACAATTTTGGGTTTTTTTTTTCTTTGTAGGAGAATGTTTTATAAACACTGTAATTTTTGGCAGGCAGACATGAAGTGAGTTGTTACTAAGAAAACTGGAGTTGATATGTGTGTCTGTGTGTGTTAACATAACAGAGAAATTGGTTTATCGAAGGAAGAATTCAAGCAATTTTCTATCCAAAATTTTGCGTGAGCTTCATATTCTGTTTTGTGCTCTGAACACACAAGAAACGATTCTGGACAAATTAAAACTCCAAAAGGGTGCCCATGGTTCTCTGCTTCAGAAAGCTCTGAAGTGTACAATCACATGTGACGTTTCCTGTGTCAATTCCCAGATTCCTCTGATTTCTTCAAAAATTTTAAGTCACTAGATTAATATACGATTCTATCTTGTTTCTTTGACATAGTCGAGGAATAACAATAGTAGTAAGAAATTCCCTCTTGATGATGTAGTTTTGTCATGAATTACGCTATCCACTCCGTAGTTATCAGAACTGGATGACTGAACATCACATGGGGAATAGCTCCGGGCCGGGTTAGTTGGGTCTTGGCAAGTCAACCTGCGCTAATGTCATGACTGTCATATTAGTATATATTAAATAAGCTTTTGAAGACAGAACATACACTGTTCTAAGTTCTAACACTATTTAAACCTTGTACCATGACGCTTTAAATTGAACAGGCTGAAATAAACAATAAACATACTATAGCTCTTATTCTTATGGATCCAATGCGTCTACTTTTGGAATCTATCTGTAAGGTTTTAAAGATACTAAAGTGTCAACTCATTAGAAGGCAATGCTATCCAAGAAAACATACTATAGCTCTTATTGCTAACCAAGTGACCAAACTCTTACAAGTTACAATCAAGGTTAAAAATATCGATGCACATAATTCCAAAAACAAAATGACTATAAAAATTGAGTATCATATGTATCAATTGCTATATACTCTTTTTTTTTTTAATTTGATCCTTGAAAACTAGTTTGCTATTATCTCCCAACTCTGAATATTTTTTACATCAATGACATTCGAAATCAATATGATATGTCTCATATCAGGTGTATCCAATGTTTTCAACTCGCCATTGCCCCAGTCAGTCGAACCGTTCGAACTGTCACCCACCCAGCTAGGATTTCAAGTCTAGTTTAGTCAAAACCTGTCATACAGTCAAAAACCATTAACTTAGTCAATATATATTGATGTGGCACAATCTAAACTGTTCGATCCAGCCAGTCAAACCGGTGACCCACGACCCAGAGGCAAAAACGGTTTGATCTCCGGGTCAGTTTTGAAAACATTAGCTGTATCATGTTAATACTTTAATTCTTGGTTACATCTACTTAACAAACAAATCGGAAGGAATTCTTTCAAATTCAACCATTTGTCAAGTAGTCATACAGTTCCATAGCAACCAATTTTCTTGCATAAGCGAAGCAGTGTAATCTGACCA